ATGCCGTCAGAAGACGAACACTGGCAGATGTCAACATTGCGTATTGTCTCTTCAGTGCCAACACAAGAACATGAAAATATATAAGACGACAGGTAGGGTGAGACCGGAACAAGTTAGAACAGGGTAGAGGGGCAGGCGTGACATCTGCGTGTGTTCGTCTTCTTACGGCATTATTCAAATTACTATAGGGAACTAATTGTTTCAAATATGACCAATGCTAGAGTATGGCTCTCAAGCGTATCGTCCTATCACCCGGGGAGAGGTAGAAAAGATTGAGCGAGTGCAGCATGTAGCCACCAGACTGATTCTTAACTTACGAGGTGTAAGAAACTAGGGCTGTACACTCCAGTTCATCGTCGAATGCAGGTTAACCTCATCATGACGCACCGTATATTACATCTGGGAGATTACCCCATGTTGAGATCGCTGCTTCATCTGCGCACACCAAGCAGCAGACGAAGACACCGGTACAAGCTTGTCGTGCCGGATTTGAAACGGGTTGCTCACAAAGTCTGTTTCGAATGTATGGATGAATGTATGGAAGGACCTGTCGCAGCACGTAGCTGAGGCAAATTCGGTGTCGGAATTTAAGAGATTCCTGGACAAACACTTTACCTACATAAAATATATCGAGCGCAACACAAACTAACGGGTGTTTGTCCCTGAGTGACATAAGATGCAGTTACACAGAGCAAACTCCACTTGATGTTTCCAACCAGTAATCAGTAATCAGTAATGCGCCTACAATCAGCATCGAAGGTTGTACCACTGCGAACATCGCGCCGGACCAATACGTGGATCCGGAGCAGAACACGTAAATGGATCAACAGAAGAGATGAAATCTGGAGGCAACATTTGCTAAGCCCATGTGATATCACATGGCAGGATTACAAAGTCATCAGAAACTACTGCACGTCACTCATTAGAGTCGATAAGTACGAATGGCAGGAGAATATGGTGCTGAAATTTACGAGTAACTCCAAACTGCTCTACAGATTTGTGAATGGCAAAAGAAAGGTTAAGCCCGGAATACCACCACTCAGGACGGCCAGTGGCCTAACACCTACTGCTGTGGATGCCGCGAATGCTCTACTCTTGCAATTTGGCTCGGTAGCTACAAATGTCATGGAACCTTCGCTCTATCAACTCCCAAGAAATGTCGTTGGCTTATCCAGCGTCACCTTTACTCCAGCAGCTGTTGCAAGCAAACTACAGTCTCTCCGGGAGTACAGTGCTCCTGGAATCGACATGATCTGCCCAAAAGTACTAAAAACCCTTGCTCTCACCATAGCAACACCACTTGCAACCTTTTTCCAGTGTCTGCTTAACTCCCATACACTCCCATCAGAGTGGAAAAACGGAATTATCACTCCAATATATAAAGGAGGTAAGCGCTCGGATTCTGCTAACTACCGACCTATTACTCTCCTTCCTGTTTTATCAAAAGTTATGGAATCGGTAATCGCAGATGAACTGACGAGATACTTTGAAAGTCAACAGATAATTTCTAATGCTCAACATGGGTTCCGACGCAGACGATTTTGTCTCACCAATTTGCTGATTACTCGGAACTTATGGACCAGGGCGGCTGATGAAGGAGTGCCCATAGATGTGATATACCTGGATTTTTCTAAAGCATTCGACAGGGTCAATCACTTCTTTCTCCTCCAAAAGCTTGCTGCCTACGGTATCAACGGTTCCCTGCTCACCTGGTTGGAAGACTACTTACACGACAGAGCAATCAAAGTAAAAGTAGCCGACACTTATTCCGAAAGCCTTTACGTCTCCAGTGGTGTTCCACAAGGATCCGTCCTCGGCCCGCTACTGTTTTTAGATTACATTAATGACCTTCCAGCAGACATTCTATCTCCAATGCAAATATTTGCAGACGATGCTAAAATATGGATAGCAATTTGCTCAGCATCCTACCGTGTCTACCTTCAGGAAGATCTGACCCGGATTAACGAATGGGCAGAAAAGAACCAGCTCCCACTGAACCCTGCAAAGTGCCACCTGCTGACGGTGCACAACAGCTTCGTCAACACATACCTTTTGGGGCAACACGTCATGCAACACGTGACTAGTGAACGCGACCTAGGTATAATCGTGCAAGAGAGTCTTGGAAATTCGCTCCAATGTTCGAAAGCAGCAAGTGTAGCGAACTTGAATTTGAGACTTTTGAGGCGAGCTCTCGGCACTTTTGAGCGATGGCTAGTACCATTGTTGATTAACTCCTACATTCGTCCTCATGTTGAATATACAATTCAGGCCTGGTGTCCATGGTTAAAACGAGACATCCGCCTCTTGGAACAGCCCCAAAGAAGAGCCACAAAGGCGACGCGTAGACTATCCGGTATAAGTTACGAAATGCGTCTTCGTGTACTCGGGGTGTTCTCATTAGAATACCGACAGCTTCGCGGAGATCTTACTCTCACATACCGGATATTAACCGAAAGCGAGCATCCATGTACATCACTGTTGACTCTAGCCCCATACAAACAAAACCGAGGCAACCACCTGAAACTAATGAAGCAACACTCTCGTTTGAATTGTAGAAAGTATTTTTTCTCACTTAGAATCTGTTCTCACTGGAATGCATTACCAAACTATGTGGTGAACGCACCAGACATGACGACATTCGAAAGACTCTTAGGTTTTCATCTTAGTGATAAACGATACACAACACTTCGTTAAAGTGCAATGATTTAACCACTGATACTTTCCGTTCTACTTTGGAACACTTTGATTTTAATTTTCTTTTGCATATCCAGCCTGTGGGTCTTGTAAAGTTATGCTTTTTATCCCATCATACACCATTGAACCATTGAACCTTGTGTAAACGATATACAGTCACAAAATGCTAGCTATCGTGCAAAGATAAGGTAGCATCGGGGAGACAGCTTCCTTGCGGCTTTCACGGCCCTGCTTCATAATCAATTAGTACCCCGCAGGTAATTTAGCACTAAACATACTTTTAACAGGCGGTGGGACTAGGAGCCGACAGCAGACTCAATACGGGTGTCTGTTACGAACGATGTCCTGTAAAGTCTCGAGCTAAGCACATGGCGGGAAACGTGTACTCTAGTCCGGAAGGACAGACGGACCGACGGCCGCCACTTTGGTCGTCAGTGACTTCATTTCCCGCTGCCAAGTAGACTTCTGTCCATCACGAGTCTTGCGCAACCCTACACCTGGCAGACTAAACAAGGCCCTCCTCGGGAAGCGATGACCAGGCGTACGTAGCATGTGCCCGAGCCAACGTAACTTATTCAATGCTATCTGTTATTCTGAGGAACTAGCTTGGTTTTCACTGCCTAATACTCGCACATCATCGTTGCGGACACGTTGGTGATACCCGACATCAGCAATGCTTCGCAGACAACGATGATCAAAGATTTGAAGGCGCCTCAGATCGAAGGGGCCGTCTGCCTTCCATAGAGCAAGACGGCCCTCAATGGGGCATTGTAAACACGTGCTTTTAGACTGAGGGAAAATCTATACTGTCGCCAAAGATGCCGAAGGTTCAAGTACGCTATTCCGAGTTTTGTAATTAGTGAACTGACTTCAGTTGCTATTCGCCCATCGTTGCTGATGCGGCTGCCAATGTAAGTGAATTGATCAACCACCTCGATTTCCTGGCTAGGAAGGACCGAGGGGTCATCAAGTGGCTGGCAGTCCGGCAGCAACATTTTGTGCTTTGCAGTTGCGAAGCGCATGCCAAATAATAGGACCACTCTAGAGAGGCTATTCAGGGTTGACTGGGCCGCCCAACATCATCGAAAAGCAAGACAACATCGTCCGCATAATCAAGATCAACTAATTTTTCTTCAGACAGGACCACAATGTCTACATAGTGAGATTCCGTAAGGAAACGCTCCATGATAGAGTCCAGAAGGAAATTGAACCAAAACGGGGAAATCGGACAACACTGTGTCTAAAAGCAGTGCTACTAAGAAACAACTGGTGCTCCGCAAACAATTGCAGAAGACGCTCGTCGTTGTCAGTCCGTTCGGAGTTAAGCTTATAATTGCCACCCAGCTGAGTTTCTGAAGAGCTCAAATGATATACTTGTGCGTTCATACCCCCTGCAAGTACTATGATTCCTGAACTACTACCGCTGCGTAGTAGGGCGTTCAGTTCGTGATAGAATGTACCCTTCTCAGCATCAGAATTGCAGTCGGTGAGAGCATAAGCGGAAATCACAAAGAAACAGCGTCTTATACTACTTCCTGAATAAACCTTAGTTGACGTCGTCAAACGGGCTGCACACAAACGGCTGTTCATAAGAATCCAATCAACAAACGATGACTCAGCCTTGGAGCTGGGAATGTTACCAACCCGAGCATGTCCGGTGAGTGCTGCATCAGCGTCTCCGGAAGCTTGCAACTAACAGCGAGAGGACATGCCGGGTGCAGTTAATTCAACAACTCCGTGAGCGTCATTGATCCTAGTTTAGAACACACAACACGCGTTGATACCCAGTGTGTCTATCATGAGTACCAGTGGAGCCTGTTGACCGATTTGCCAGTGTGCGAGCCTTGAACGTCGACAAGTAAACTGGACAGCGTAGGCTTATAAGGGACTGCTGGCAATTGGCGTCAGGTGGGTATTGCGGAAAGGTGGCTGCGGATGGTTCTACCCCATTGGCACTTCGGCTGCTGTCAACTAAGCCCAGAAGTATAGAAAGAAATTTAGTAATGAGGGGCGAGGTGGGAGTAAGAGAAATAGGTAGCGACGAAAGAAGGGAATCGCCAGCAACATGCTTTTGCTTACTCGCCCTGCTGCATACAATGAACAATGATGTTGGTTAAAAATCTTCCTGAAGAAATTTGGATTATTCAATAAAGTTTCTTTGTAATTCCTGTCACTGACAATTTAAACTGCATATGTTATCTCACCACGCATTTTCATATCGGACGATTCAGTATTATAAATTTCAGAAAAGGGCAATGAAGAAGTGATAGTACTCATTTATACAAAACGTCCTGTGAGTTGCTTACCGTCAACGCCATATTGTTCAGGGAGGCCAAGTGTTTTGCAGCAGATTGAGCTATTATTGGATTATGATCATCCAAGGATTCAATCAGACGACAGAGGGCGTGGGCCACAGCCGTTCGAATGAACGGATTTTCATTTGGCGAAGTTGTTGAGTCTATCATTCCCTCCGTGCTCATAACGCCTCCTCCATGGGCTCGATTCAATGCAACAAAACCTTTGGTTGTATTCATTCTCCCGCCTGTAGTACGTGAGCGAGCACCCGCAGCCGATACGCTACGTGTGAAAAGATGTACACCACTCGCATTGACTGTGATTCCGCCAGAGAGGAGGCTGGCGATTTTCACGCCAGCAGCATTGCTGAAGCCCTGATTTAGCACTTGATGATCCAACTCGCGTAGCATAACTGCAGCCTTTTCAATGGCATCGAAGCGTATCCGCCAGTCAATATGTGCGAATTCATCTTCAATAATGCGCCAGAGCACTGTTGACCCCCCCGGAAGTGTGACGCAGTGCAACAACAACGGTACGACCCAACTGGACACCTGGGACAAGTCGGACTTCAGCATACTCCACAAACTGTTGGTTAAAAAAAACAAGGAAGTCGGTAATCCAGATCCCGACAAAAGCCCAAGAAAATCATACAGGTGTTAACGAAAACGGGCCATCTAAACTGTAGCATGAGGGATTCCGTTTCACGGCCTGAGATCTGTAGACAAATTTACTATATGAACTTACTCCCCAAATACAAGAAATGGATGTCATTACAACGCCGCAGGGATTCTCACACGTCTCAATGTTTTGATGTAATCGCCTAGCCCTCGGTTCTTTGGTTACAATATACAGAAACTCAAAATAGGGTACATAATAGAATCTGTGCGAACAAGCGCTAGTATTGTCATCCAAGGAAGCGTACTTGAATCTTCAATTTTCTTGCTCCACTTCCACGATAACAGCGTATCCATCATAGATGACAGATCATTTGTCTTTACCGAAAACATTAAGACCTTTTACGAAGCTTCACGAGACTAAAAACGAAGCGCAAATTTGCTCATCTATGAAGATATAAATTCACTTGAGAAATGGTGTTGTACATGGCTAATGAAGTTCTCAACTGACAAATCGGATGCCGTGTACTACGGATATTTCTCTCCCCGAAGAGTCATTCAAACCTAATAATGAACACATTTGTGTAAAACTAATTGCGATGTGGGTATACTACTCTTCAAACTTCAGTCTCTCAGAACAGGCCGAATATCAGAAACCGTGGGCTAGGTCAGCTATGCCATATAATCCACACAGTCCCTACCAAAATCGAACATCTTAAAGTACACACCCTTTCTCATCCTTATGTACTGCAACCTCGTTTATATTAATATGCATATGGCTGACAGAACAACTTTGGGAAACCCACAATGATCATTTTCTAAATGTCTGCTTGGTAGGACGTGCACCTTTACTTTTCAGGACGGTTACCAGCAGCTCCACATCGAGCCACTTTGGTTGAAACGGCTTAAACACAGCTGGATGCCCATCTGACAGACCAGAAGACATACTCTGACCTGCCTACAATAGCATTGCAACATGACTTCTGTCGGAGGCATTTCAACGAAACTTGTGAACTAATTGCGCGAAAAACCAGGGTAGTCATTCGATCCAAGTTCTCGCTGATTTATTGGACTTTCAACCGGTACCTTTTCCGTTTTCATCGACCCAGACCTGCTGTCGTACGTCGCTCGCTATCCACTCTCCGCTCGTTCCTCGGAGATTGCGTTGCGCCAGCTGATTTTATGCACGCTGCTTGTGCCTTTGTCTCTTTTTGTCTCTGCTCGTCCTTGCAGCTTTCCAGCCTTCCGCTTAATCGTTGATTTCCGCGCCACTACATGAATGTAGTCACCGGCCTGTCTTACAGACCCTCTTACCTTCTCCTATATTGTTGACTGTCTTGCATGTGTCGTGTGATTGGACGTTTTGGTTAATACACTTGTGCGGTGAAGACTTTATTCCGATGGATTTAAGTCCCATAGACCACAGTTATAACAGGTAGTGACCCACTAAGTGGCCAGCTTTTGGGGTTGTGGGACTAACTGGAACCCAGTCGTTTTCATCGCCAACACTCAAGTAACCGATATCGCTGAAAGTCAACATGCTGTCATACAGAGTAGTTATAAACGTTACCGAGTTCTACCGATCCTTGGCTGTACACTGCCGTCATCAATAAATGGACTGAAAAGCACGGTGTTCGGGATACGACTCCGTTGTTATCCATATAAATCGATACAGATGTGAGTGCATGGATTAAGCAAATATCGCTGACCTCGTGTAGTTTCTTAGCAGCTTGATTAGTCACTGGATGCTAGTTAGCTTTGGATACTAGATTAACCAGACCAAAACTTGGTTTTATCGTGAGTAGCTTACTGTAAAACAAATTAGCCCAGATGGACCACAGCTATATCGTGATATCTTTTGCAGCGGGTGAGAGAATAAACTGTTGTGTGCAACTCAAATAAATACATACCTCGGTATCAAATGACAGTGAATAAGATAAAATATGAAGTTCAACTGCGCTTGCGGAGTGGCTGCACAGTCCTTTAAGCCCGCTCCACTGGACATCTGCGATCCGGCAGCAATTTGAGTTGGGGCTTTTCCCGGGAAATGTCCGCGGACCCCGGAAGCTTGTTGTTGTTCACCGCTCCCCAGCAATGTGGATCCCACAGTTGGGCTCATCATATTCTTTTTGGCGTTTGCGATTGAATTCTGCAATACTTTGCCTAAGTGGCATAAGTAGACCAGGCACTCAATTACACACTGCAAAGCGATAGGATCTTGTGTGCATTGCGGCTCCAGTACCGAGGAGTTACTCTCTAGTTCATATTCGTTTGATGAAACACCGGGTGGTCTCCGAATAAATTGAAGCAATAAATACACAAACCGTATCAGTGGTGGCATCATGTTGACGTAGGAAGTGTCAGGAAGATCGCACGAAACTGTAAACTCCTTCGCTAGTTTCTTTTTCCCCGAACCTTCTACACTAGATGATCTCCAATCCTTTTGCTCTGAAACGAAATGGATTACAAGGTAACCGTACACTATCGCGATGCACTTGTCTCGCTAGTGTTTGAATGCCGGTAGAAGGTAGTACAACCCTGATAATTGTCTGAGTCGGTTTTATACCTATATTTCCGTGCTTTGCATTCTCCGCATGATGATATGAAAGAATGACTTATAAATGTTGAAAACGTCCTTAAAACAAGCAGCAACTGACTAGGCTCTGATTCTAACTGTTCTGGATCCGTGAAACTAGAGGTGTAAAAAGATGAAACTGACTAAAATCAGTCAGTGACATCAATGTGAACCAAACGAATTCTCTGTTGTGTGGGCAGCATGCTGCCGACATGACCATAATGCAATTGGTTAATGAGTAGCTCAGAGTTGGAAAGCTATTGTTGATGAAGTCAAAAGTACAGTGAACACCAATTGTCTCGAAAGTCAGTGAAATGCAACGGCTGATGGATAGTGTGTGCGTTTAATTCATCACGACTATACCCATTCAGCTAGCCATTACTAAATACCCCAGTTTTCCGCGATTCCACGAAACGCAGAAAAATCGCGGCATTTACAAAATATCCCTGAAAATGAAAAACTTTTTTGAATCGCGGAAAAAAGGTGAAACACATAAAGTGACCTACCTTAAATTCGTTATTGCTGTACTCTATATTCTTGTGTACGGGAGATATGTCTAAGCAGTCAGCTGGCTATTGGACCATTCCTCTGGATTATCATGATCGCCATCTGTCTACCATCTGCTATCCATTCCCTTTGTCTCCACATTCACAGCTACATGTGCGGTTTTATCCCGACCCCAGTGTGACACATCCATCTAACTACTACGCAACCATGCCCCATGTGTCTGATCACGCTGTACATTCATTCTATTGTCCAGTTTACAAATGCCGTCTGCCCACATGCACATTAAATCTGTTCGACACCTGTTCGTTCGCACCTTTTGAACACACGTTACCAGCACACAAGGGCCCCCAATACGGTCACCCGCGAACTTGACGCCCTGTCGCCTCTTAGGCGTTGAACGTGTGCTACGTGGTCGCATTGAGTTCGGCAGCCCAATAAATAAGCGACCGCGTTAATTCCTTGAAATAATGAAGTCATCAGCTGTCAGTATAGTGGCGAGAAAGATGATTTATACCCTCGTTGAGTAGTTCGTGGAGATAATGTTGTGCCAGTACTGAGCTGTTACTGTTAAGGTTTATCATTACTGAATTTTCATCTTCCGTTGAATAGTACTGCAGTTCAGTCTCTACTTCGTTTTCGTTTGACTCATTACTCGAGAACCAAGCGAATCTGTTGCTTAAAATAATCAACAGGCTTTATTTTTTTTACAGAAATCATCTCAGAAATGAAAACAGCTTCAAGGGGCAAAAGCTGCTCTGGACAGAGTGAAGGAGTTTCTTAGATAATACTACGTCGATAACTCAGATGAAGGAATACGGTTTTGTTCATCGTGGTTGACCATCTTCGCAGCCGGAAGCACCTTCAGAAGAAAGCTCACAAGGTATAGCAATCAGTTAAAATTATCACTGAGAAACAGCTCCGAAGAAAGCTCGACAAGCAAGCATCGTTAGTTCCATCGACATTGCGAATGCTGTCTAGTGGTACCTGACTTTCTACTTGCCATGGGAATTGAGAATATTTCTCTAGAGAATTCCTTTACAGACATGTACGGAATGATGGAGGCATTGTCGGATTTAAAGCGCTACGTCTGAAAACTCCGCAGCTCTCTGGGAAACATAAACAGATACTGAAAGTGGTGTTGCGTGACATACAGGAGTATTTGATACCCCAAGCTAGCTGGTCATTTTTGAAAGCCATTAGACTGATCGACCCCAACTAGCTCATCATCTTGTCCAGTGATCCATGTAGCTATAACGACGTTCCAGGACTGGTGGGATTCCAGCTCTGGCAGCTGAATGGCTAATCCATTGAAAGTGGTGGAACGATTGCGTGGAGAAAAATGTGAAGACTCGCTGGCCTTCTGGTGCGGGATGATGGAAAGAACCTCATAACTGACAGACATAGCCAGCCCGTATCTATGCATTCCTGTGAATCCGGTAGACGCGGAACGGAGCTTCAGTTCCTACAAAAATGTTGTTCCTGACAAGCGTCACAACCTCTCAGACAGTAGTACGAAGCACCATTTTTTGAATCATGATTGACATGCATATGGTGTCTTGATTTCTGCTTGGTATAGTCTTCACGGTGAAATCGCGGAAGTTTATGCTACCACCGCAGAGATTTCGCGGAATTTTGTATTTTGATCGCGAAAAAGTTTTTCACCACCTCAAGAAAACTGGTGTTTTTAGCCATCACACATCCGTAGCAATACTGGGCAGCCGTTTGATTCTTCAGGTAATCGTCGACAATGCATATACCATGTTCCTGCTGAGGGCTTGAGACCCGGGGCTGTACTCATACTAGTAAATGGTTAAGAATTCTGGGCCATAGGGGACACCAACGACCAATATGAATAAGCCAATAGATATGACAACGAGTCTCACTCTCCAGTGACCCACACATTATTAATCGGAATAGGACAGATTCACAAACATAAACCGAAGGTCAAATTGTGATAATACAAGGGCTCTGGACTGACTATTGTGTTCATGTGCGTACTAGGGCCATTTGGTATTTAAAAGCTGCCCCCGTCCAATACAAAGACAAATTCTCTGCTTATGGGTGGCCAACCTGTTACCACCGTAACGCGGAAATAAATAACAAACATAACCGGTAAACAAACAAGCACTATTTTGTACTCTGCCTTGTGCAGCGATCTACAATGTACAACCGTTGATGATCTGGAAACACACGTTACTGACTCACTCTGGTGCCGTCTCCGACTGAGACACAACGACACGTGTCTAGTAGCTGTCGTTTACCGTCCCCCAACGTCCACTCCGGAAATGGATTCCTGCTTGATCCGTGGCCTAAACAGAGTAACATGCACTAGGTACAGCCACATTCTCATCTCCGGGACTGCAATCTACACAATCTGGAGGTTTCGGCATCGCCCAGTGAGCAGTTCAAAGCAGACTTGCATAAACTGATCGCTAATATTCCTTTGTACAATCATGTCACCACGCCCACTAGATTCAGGACAGCAAACAAACCGTCCATACTGGACCTTGTGCTCATGAATGAAGAGCTCATGGTTGACAAGTTATTGATGGATAGTCCATAAGGTCTCAGTGACCATGTAGTAATAACTTTTGACTATGTGTGTTACGCAGAGTATCCACCTGAACACTCGGAACTAACTCATACAATCACACGCTACCACGTATTGAAAGAACTCGCCGACGCAGCTGCTTGGGAATTCTCAAACAAAAGTCCCCGTGACAACGTTTGGGCAGAGTTCGTTAATAAGCTCAGCGACATCGTCAACAAAGCAACAGAGACCAAACCCCGTCGTCCCGCGAAAATGCCTTCAATTATAAGGAGTAGGACTCGAAAATTCCTGGCGATAAGGGTTGCAGCATGGCGTGCCTACAAGATTAACCCCGACTCAGAGAATTGGGGAAATTTCCTGGCCCATCGCAACCATTGCACCGCACTTGTCCGTGAGGACAAAATAACTTATCAACAGTGCCTAGCCAAAAAATTCATGGCGAACAACAAACTGCTATATAGGCATGTCAATAATCTTCGTAAAGTGAAGCATGGAATCCCCCCACTTTTCACGACAGGCGGTAGAGTACAAAGCGCCGAAGAAGCAGCTAATGCCCTGCGGCTTCAATACGCCCCAATCTTCGAACTCGCAACCTCTACCTGTCCCGTAATATCAAGCTCATTACCGACACCTTTGTTTACAAATGTTATTTTCAACCCATCAATTGTGCTAAGGAAGTTACTCTCACTGCGTGAGCATAGTTCTTCAGGAGCAGACAACATCCGCCCGAAGGCACTGAAGGCTGTGGCCAACAAGCTAGCTGAACAACTGTCACAGTTCTTTCAAAGGTGCTTTGATGAACAACAAGTCCCCACTATGTGGAAATGTGGCATTATGACCCCTATTTTTAAAGGCGGTAGCCGTTCAGATCCTGCAAACTATCGTCCAGTGACTCTCCTCCCTGTGCTCGCGAAGGTGATGGAAGCAGTCGTCGCTGAGGCATTAATGGACTACCTGGAAAAATGCAACATCTTGGTACCGGAACAGCATGGCTTCCGTCAACACCGGTCATACACCACCAACCTAATTATTGCACGAGGTAGTTGGACGGAAGTGGCCGATGATGGGGTCGGAATCGATGTCATCTATCTGGACTTCTCCAAAGCATTCGACCGCCTTGATCACCGCATCCTAGTTCAAAGACTACAGAGTTACGGAATCGGAGATCCCGTACTTGGTTGGATTGGCAACTTCCTTTACCAACGAAAGCTCCAAGTACGTGTTAGGGGATCACTTTCTAACCCAATTGAGGTGGAATGTGGTGTCCCACAAGGCTCAGTGCTGGGACCGCATTTATTCCTGGTGTTTATCAACGAACTGGCAAGGGTCATCTCCTCAAATTTCCTGCTTTTCGCCGATGATGTCAAGATTTGGCGGGCGATTGGTAACCAGCCAGATCAGGATCTGCTCCAGCATGACTTAGATTGCATTTACGAATGGTCAAAGAGGAACAAGCTTCAATTGAACATGGCTAAGTGCTAAGTGATGCATCTGTGTCACCAGCCGGTGAGCGCTTACAAGATTGGAAATCACATCTTGGCGAAGGTTTCTGAGGAGCTTGACCAGGGTGTATTGGGGCACGAAGATCTCGAGTGTTCGAAACAAGCAGCGAAGGCGACGAGAACCGGAAATCAACACTTCGGAATTCATAAATAATCCGCATTTGAGTCAGAAGTAAGCAAGTGCGCGAAGAATATTCATTTCGATAATTCTCATCAGGCGAGTACATTTATGCAGCAAAACGTTTGGAGAGAATAAAGCCCGTAGAGGCCTGTACAGAGAGCAATCAACTCATTAACTGGGCAGTATGAAAAC